CGAAGCCAAAGTTAACAATGAAAAGATCTTTTTTAGCAAAGGAACAGAGTAAGACGAATGTGGCTCCGAGCGTGCCGCCCATTGCAATTATCAGGAAAGCTGCATTGTGATTTGTTTCAGCACGACAAACCACTGATACCAGGTGTCGAGTTGAGCATAAAATTAGTGCGTAATAAAAACAGTCTAGTCTTTATGACGGACAGCGATTTATCAAAACCAAAATCTGTAATTATCAAAAACCCTCGTTTAAAAATTAGAAAATACGAGCCATCACCCGATTTTCTAGGGGCTTTAACTAAGCAGTTAGTTTCAACAATTGCCAAGTACCACACTGAACGTGTTGCCATGCGGCAAACCACACTGTTTGCCGGACAGCAGCAACATACTTGGCCCAATCTTGTTATTGGTCAATTACCCAAGGTTATGTTCTTTGCTATGATCCCGAGTAGGGCATTCAATGGGGAATATACTTGAACACCGTATGTCTTCAATCATTTTAGTTTGGCCTATTTGCATGCAGAAATTGACGGACAAATATTTCCCACTCGTGGATATAATATGGATTATGAAAATGGGGCAAGTTTAGAGCCGTACGAAGGACTTTTTGATACATTAGAGCGCTTTCACGAAGGTTTTGGTGAGCTGCCGTTTGATAGATCTGATTATAATTTGGGTGGATTTTGTATTTATGGTTTTGATTTCACGAGAGGGCATACAGGGCGTGGTGCTCTGTCGCTCATACGGCAAGGTAATTTAAATATGAGCATGCGTTTTGCCAAACCATTGCCAGAAGCTGCTGTATGTATCGCAATGCTGGTTTACGATAATATTATCGAAGTAAACAATAATAGACACGTGCTCTTTGATTTTTCGCCATGAATAATTTAGAAATTGAAAAATCCTTTTTTTCAGATCCCAAAATTCGCGATATTTTTGTTGGTGTTTTTTCTAGTAATAATATACCAGAAAAACAATACCCCGGTGCATATATCGTAAACACACAAAAAACGGGGAGTCCCGGCGAGCACTGGGTGGCTTTTTTCTGCGTTCGTCGAAACGTTCTAGAAGCGTTTGATTGGTATGGCCGTAATCCTGCGGAATATTCGTCGGATATTGCAGAATGAATGGGAGATGATTACGTCATTATGTCCAATACTACAAGACAAAACACCGACAGCACCGTATGCGGCCAGTACTGTATGTTTTATGTATTATTGCGATGCTACGGTTTTTCGTGTAAGGATCTGATGTCGGCATTCACCAAGCATAAAGGGGTGAATGATAAGTTTGTATGCAAATTCATTAACAAATTCTTCCGGATAAGCAGTAAGCTAAGGGACGTTCAGTTTATAAAAACACTGTTAAACCATGGATAAGCCCACAATAAAAGAATTGATTTCCATTATTTTAGGAATTCTTATAACCGTCATGTTACTAATATTCAATATTTTGGAAATATGCGGTCATGTATTCGAAACAAACGTGACTCGGATTACGGACGCGACTCGACTCGCCAAAAACTCCATTGACGTTATGCTCAGCGACGACTCAGCGCCAGTGGCGAACGATCGCCAGTGACAACTGGCGGCATAAACATTGTATATTAGTAAAAATTTGCCAGTTCACATCATTCCAAACAAAAATGGATATGACAATTTGTGAAAATCGCTTGAAAACGTTTGTCACTTGGCCGTATCCTCTCGAACCAGCCAAAACCAGATCGGAGGCTGGTTCATAGTCTGCAGGCTTAGTCTGATACGCGGCTCGAGCCAGCAAATCATGAGTCATGGCACTACGAATTTCTTCAGCTTTTTTCCATGATGTGGCTTTGGTCTTGCCGGGCGCAGAAAATTCGGACTCTGGTACAAGAACGTAGGTCTTCATTTTGTTATAAATGATGCAACTAGTGTTCCTAGAATTGGAAGTAGAGCAGCTAAGAATCCTCCTTTTTGCGCTAAAATTGTTCGCTTTTTAACGTGTGAAAGTTTTCTGTCGGCTAAACGCTTAATTATCGGTGCAAAACGTCGTGCTCTGGCTAAATCAACTTTACTCAAAGCCGTTGGTTGCTTCACCAAATTTAAACAAGCTTCTTCAATTGCTAAAATTTGTTTTTTAGAAGCAACCTGTAAAAAATATCTACGCTGTCGTGGATTCATAATTTCCAAAGCGCGTAGTATACTGAGAACGTCTTCTGGATTCATTTTTCCACGTATATTTTCCGGTAGTCAAATATGTTTGACTGTAGCCTTAGCTTGTCAGGTGTATCAGGACGCAGATTTATTACCAAATAACCAAAAGGTTCCTTTATAGCCTTTTTGTATGCATTACACAAATGCGGCATACCTAGCTGGCGAGAAAGTAATTTAATCTGTTGTACATCACGTACAGATTTAAATAAAATTAAATATTGTGAGTTGAGAGATATCTCTCATGCTTTTACCTTGTTTGTATAAATTTTGCGATATAAAAATAACGGAAACATTTTTTATGATGCACATCTCTAGTAAATATTGTCGAACACTTTGCGTTTTTGATATTTCTTCCATGAGATCATCAAGAATAAGTAGCGTAGGCGTATTTCTATCAAAAAAATTTTCATCTTCCAAGATTTTATCCATTCCTGGCAGCAGCTCGATGGACTTATCAAAATTACCGAATGCCTCTTGCCATGTACCGTACGCATATACTATACGTACGGGCGCGGTGTGAAATTATTGGGAATACTCCGTAAAAGTTGCAACGTAAATGTCGATTTTCTGGACATAGTTGGACCAGAAATATAAAACGAACAAGGAGTTTTAAATCTGAAATCAAAAGTCACCTTTTCCATTTTAAAAAACTCCGTTTTCAAACCGCTATTTGTATGCTTTATCTATGAGAAATTTTTTTCAAGAAACTCCTGATTTTGACTTTGAAATATTCCGTTATTGATTCAGATTCTGGAGTTTTCAGTTGAAGAATCTAGGAGTTTTATTACAAATTCAAAAACTTCTCGAATTTGCTCCGAAGAAGTACAACCAAGGACTACACAGCTACCAGTATGAAAAATATGAATGGTAGCGTACGAAAGCCTTAATTTTAGTGCTGGAAACAGCTCTGGCTCTAGTAGACGTTGCACGGAGAAGTTTTTTGCTTTCTCGTAAAGCTTTACCAAGTTAACGTTGTGTGTATGTTTGTACGTGCAAACGGTATTTGCGACACGGCTGTCCTTAATGTTTAACTCTATGCCTTGAGTATAAAGCATCATTTGATAACATTTTAGAAGTGAATACGACCCTGTAATACTTTTAGCACCGTTTATTATAGCCTTACCATTAGGGAATAATTGACAGAACGTTTTGTTTTGTAAACTTAAAGTGACAGCATTAAATCCTTTAACGGACTTTGTATTAAGCGGAAATGACTTCCAAACCTTCTCCAAACAAATTGCTTTGTCGAATTGGACGGAAAGAATGACGTTACGGATATCCATGGCTACGAGCTTTAATTGCGACAGTGTCAACTTGGAACCTTTATATACCTTTCAAGTTAAGACTGTCACAAATAGTGGCTTCTAAGCCTTTTTTCTTTTCACAACAAACAGAACAGAGTAAATGCTAAGTAAGGTATGCTAATAAAAATTAAAGCATCCAGTCAGACAACAATATCCCGTCCCCAGTGCTGGATATAGATTTCCTCCATGAGATTGATGAATCCCTGATATGGTAGTTGAATGGTGCGCCGAGGCTGAGAGAAACGAATCATCCGTCCGTATTTCGGGTGGATGCTGACAGTGACGTCCACACATCCTGATCCCGGAAGAAAACTTCTCCGCTCCTTGTCGGTGATTGCACGATCCATATATTCCTGAAGTGTACCATTGCGCAACATTCCCAACATTGTGCTGATATCGCTGTACGTAAGACGGACACCCTTGTCCTGCGCCTTCTTCAGACCAGCTCTATCCGGTTTGGCATCGAACACCAGGAAGAAGCAGACTTCCTTGGGGTTCCAAAACATAGTAACCACAGCGTTGATCTTGTAGACAGTAAAATCTTCGTGGACTCCCAGAACTTCTAAAGCGCGTACGGTATCCATGTTTTGATGTGAACAGTAGAGAAATCAGGAAACAACTAAATTTCATCGCCACAAAAGTTGCTCTTAAAGGCTCACGACAGTAAAACTTTACTGGCGGAAGGGTTGGCGATAGAGCGCCAGTGACGTCACTATGTGGGACTGCAGTAAACTCTCGGCTTGCGCAGTTTTCCACTGGGTGAAAATAGGTGTCGATTTGGACGGTGACCTTATTACCAGCAGTGTGTGTGTTACCTTATAGTCCATTGTTCTTTTGTAAATGAAAACAAGTGTAGGTAGGTCACCCATTGTCCCCTACACAGTTAAGCATTGGTAGGCATGCCGCTAGGCAGAGGCCAGTATCAGCCAGACTGCCGCTAAGCAGAGGCCAAAATCTGCCACCCCTGCGCTAAAGAGTGCGTAATTTGCCCATACCGTCCGTGACACTACTACTTTGCATCTACAGCGTTTCCCGCGACAACCATACGGAGCAGGTATTCTATCACGCCCCCGTTGGAGTCGTCCATCCGAACACGACCGACGCTGTCTTCCCTGAAACCTCTGGATCCGGTTATGTGATTGTTAAGGTGAAGTTGTGGGATCAGAACCTGATCAACACCGTTCGCGCCTACATCACGAAAAGCACTGGCATTGCCCATCCGTCGCTGCATCCTCTTCCCTTCGGTTTTATGCAGGCGAAATACGCTTCAACCCTCGGCAGCGGTCAGCATGGCCGCACGGAATGGCTCCCCATCGGTCACCATCCGGATGCTGTTGCGCTGCGCCTGCGTTGTCCGTCCCTGGGCGCCTGCCAGAAAATGCTGGAGCTGATGGAGAAAGGATCCACCAACGCTCCGCTGGACATACAACTTTCCTTCGTCTTCCAGCTGACGAAACCCCGTAAAGCGTCCGTCACACTGAATCAGGACCGTCTTACGGAGTCGCCCATGGTCAGCAGCATCCTGGAGAATTTCCCAAACAACCAGTATGTCTATCTGGCGCAGAAGGACTACCGGTCGCTGGTGCGAGACGTGGTTGCCGCCGGCGTCAACGAGGCATTGAAACCCGATGAATTTATCGACGACGACCAGATGGCCGATATGGTTTCGCGTGCGCTGCCGGCGTTCCTGTATAATACTACCGACACTGGCGTTAATGTTTTTACGGATGCCATGTGGGCGGTGACTTACCGGGTGTGGAGCAGCGCCCCGATCTCCAAGCGAAGCATGCCATCGCTCTGCTCGCTAACGGAATGAAGTGGCTGAAAAAGGTCATGGACGGCGATGTGAACAGCACGGATGCCGGTGGCAACGTGCATTCGCGAATGGTAATGGACCTGCTGGACGAGTTAAAATCAGGACGTGGTGTGGTGCAATGGGACGGCGACCGCATCGTAATTAAGCCGATGAGACTGTATTGTCTGGATTTGAATGCGCTGACAGGTCAAGAAAAATTCAGCACCTTGAGAGTCAGCATCAACAGCAATCGCGCAGACTACATCACGGGACTGGTCGCAGCTTCCGGTGGTGGTGTTCATGTCGATGATGCGCAAGAACTGCAAGCGTCGGCGGATTCTTGCATGAATCGCACCAGTGCCGCCCTGGATGCGGTTAGATCCGGTTTAAGTACAATGGAGTCCACAATTCTGCACAGTATCAGTCAGCTTCCGAGTTTGGTCAACTGCCCAGTCACAATGTGCCCTGCATGTGGTAACGGTAAGTAATAAAGGCTCATGGAATACTAATAAATACAATCAGTGTGTCAGACTGGTAATTCGTTGTTGTCCACCCGCTGTCTACCCCTTGTGGACATGTCATTATGACATGTCCAAATTGAGGAAGGCCCTTTTGAAGTTTGAATGATAATAAATACATTGCCTGTCTTCTGTAAACTTAACTGGTGAATGCAAGTTTGTCGTGCACATAAGAAATTTTGATTTTAATGGTTTTGCAGATATTACACTGCACGGAATCGTCAAGGATGCGGACAAGCTCGTGGCTCTCAACAACGCGGCCATATCTGTAGTACTGAAGGACAGCAATAACAACAAGGGTGACCGTGTCACAACCGTGGCAAGTTCGTCCGGCGAATTCTACCTTAACCTACAGGAAAAGAACGCCAGCTACAGTATCCTTTTCGAGATGGATGGATACCATCCACTGACCGTCCGCGATGTGGACCAACTTGTCACGGTCAACCATACCAAATTTCTGCCTCCGCTGCTGTTCATTCGTAAAAGCGTTAGCGATGCGGGAGTCGCCAGCGGTATGTTGTACCTCTTTCAGCACGGCGGCCTGTTCAACATCACTGCCACCATTGATTTCCGGTCGGACGCAAATAATTTCTTTGGGCCTGTTGTGGCGAGTGTATCGACAAGCGAAACCAAGCGTGAGTGGAGCCTCAGCTTGCCTACCGGTACCTATACTGCCCTGGTCCGTGGCTTCCACTATCAGACCGCGTGGTTCACGGTGACGGTAATTGCGGGAAAGGAGACCATCTGGGACTTCGAAGTCATGCCCTTTATGGATTTCAACGAGATTCGAATCGTTCTGCGTGGTGGAAGCTTCCGTACAGCTAAGTTCTGTGCAGAATGTTTGGAGTTGGTGGTCGTCGGGCCCACGACTGACACGGTATGCCGTGCTGAGGTTAGCGCTGTTGGCGAGCACGGATCTCCGGATGGTTTCTTCAGGGTGGATTACTCTGGCCTGCTGATGGACAGTGCTATCATCAAGACACAGTTGTTAGGCGTCTACGAAATCAAGGTGTACAACTGGCATCAGCGAAAGATCGAAGGCTGGGCGATTGCCACTTCCAATGCGATGGTCCAATTATACCGTGGCCTTCGCCTGATCGGCCAGTTCCACGTGCCGTACGCCTTCGGGCGCAGCTGGACCGTTGCGGAAATCAGCGGATCGCAGTTGAAAGTCGTCAACAAAGTGGTTGCTACAGCGCCATAATAATTCTTGCTGCTGCTATAATTGTTTAGTGCGAAATTTGCATGCATGATACGCAGTTACATAAATATGCAGCATGCTGTTTTTTTTACGCATTTCTTCAAGTTTATCAATTCGTATCGCGGCTTCTCAGGGAATCCCTGGCCACAAGTTGTCCTTTCCATGTTTTTGTTGTTTGTTAAACAACTGCAAGTCGCAACATATATTCCGCCGTCTTTAACTGAACACATGAACCAGTTTTGCGTAAAAATGATTCTGTTTGAATAATATCGGCGTACCGCGAGCTGAAATGTACCGTTTCCTGATTTGCACTTAAAAGTCACTTCATTTACCACGACGAAACGATCTTTCTTTACTAAAACCGTAAAAGTAAAAGTGTAAACAAAAGTGTATGTGCGATTTGTACACTTGCCGCATAAGTGTGGTAGTATTGTTGTTGACTTGTTGTCGTTGTTGTTGTTGTTGAGTGTTAGGATTATTGCGTAGTGCTGTGGCTTCGGTGGCGTGCTTTACCTGTTTCGTCACTGTTTTTTTACAACTCAAATAACTAAAAAGCCGTTCAATATTTTTTAAAACTTTCAAATACTCTAGAAAGAGCATGACCTCGTGAATCTGGCAAAGTAAAAAAACTGGAAGAAGAACGGTTTGAGAGAGAAATAACTGAAGGTGGCCCACTTAGTGTATGTTGCCTATTCATTTATCATAGTGGCCCAATTAAGTGTCTTTACGGGTAGTGTTACAAATCCACAAATTAACTATGCTGCTGAGTGCTGAGTACTGTCATTGGTCACAGATATGCACATTTGTTGTGAGCACAGGTAACACTTAAATCTCGAAGAGAAACACTAACGTCTTGGAGTGTTGCAAATTTCCTTATGGATTTCGTTGTTAGCTATTGTTGATAACAAGTAAAACGGTTAGAGAAGTACGGAAACTCTAATGAACCACTACACCGGTAACCCGCCGTTTCGTCGACCATCTTTTCGTTGAACAGACACGATGTCGAACTAGCGTCACCACGTCGAACTAGCGTTACCTAAATTATCTCAATTTTCTTGGAAATCTAAAAAAACCTAAGATTTCTTTGTTTTCTTAGTAGTTTTTGGTTCTCAGGTTTCATTGGTTTTGTTAAGCTTTTAGGTTTTTTGGCCGTCGCTCTTGTGATAGTCGACGTAGTGCGGTCGACGTTGTGACAGTCGACCGGGTGTTAATCTGCGAAATGTCGGTGAGCCGACTGCCCTGTGCGCCCAGCACCGTCCCCAAAAAGACCGGCTTGCATTTGGCCAGTAACAGTAATCCCCAGCCCACGCCGTCCAATTCCAAGACAATACTGCGCATTGCATTCATGTCCGCTGTCGAGCAGACTCAGCAGGCGAACTGAATAAAGTCGTCGGCGATGTACCGCGCTGGCAGGAAAAGGCATATAATGGACTAAATGGCGCCCCCACATTGTCAGTATCAACGACTATTCAAGACTGAAAATTATTCCCCTCTCAAACTATCTCAAACTATCACGACTATTCAAGACTGAAAATTATTCCCCTCTCAAACTATCCCCCTGAAAATTATTCCCCTCTGTTTCGGAAAATCAATGTCGTAAAGGATGTCAAAATTTAATGAGAATTTAGCGTAATGTACAGATGTACTAGATGTAGGTATTAGACAACTTAGCATGTTGGATTTCCGATTTACAGTGCCTAACGGTGCAACTTATAATGGGAACTTTACTAAGTTACATTTAATCTGTATGTAGGAGACGCCATGTACTGTACTCGTATGTTCAGCCATATCTATATACCGGAATTATGTAAATGTACTTCGCTCACTTTCATTATTTGTTGTGCTACCGTAACAGATATATTGCAGTTAACTAACTACGGGCCACAATCTTGGTGTTACTGGTGCAGCTCGGAAATTTTGAACTGGCTAATTTGCAACCTGATCAATTACGACCCATGAGTGCTTAACGAATCGCACTTTATTTTACCATCGCTGATACTGACAAAACTTAATAACCTTTAGTTTTTTATAATCTTATCGCCATATAGCCGGATGTAATTCCTGCGATACTATAATAATTTTATTACTGCAGTACATAATTCGCTGGCATTTCACTTCCGCCATGCCACCGGCCACATGACGAACGCACGCCAAAGTGATTAAGTACGTAAACCACGCGTTGAGAAAACAGGAACGGCTTTACAAATTACTGGGTAGGCATTAGAATGCCTAAATTTACACCGGTGTCCAAGGCAGATCCAATGAGTAAACTGATGCGTTATAAGAGCCCCGCAATAAAACTACTACATTGCACAGATTAGAGCTTAATGTGCAGACTAAATCATCGGCCAGCGCCAGTATAGTCATTTCTAAAATAAGTTGTGTTGTGTGTTTAATCCAGTATTCCCGGTTTGTTCGCGGGACATGATGCTTCACCTGGTGGAGTGGATCCATAAATAATTTGCCCGGGTCGAATCCATGTGTTTTCGCCAGATCCACAATGGTGTATAGCGAACACCGGTCCGTCAGCAGCCGCTGCAACAGGTCACTGGCGGACTGGTCGTCCGTCATCACAAAAACCACGCATTTCGAATAAGATTTGCTGGCAAACACTTCCCGGATTTTTAAAGCGAAATCCTGAATAGGAATGTTGGCCATTTCCTTGGAGGCGATCTTGTCCGTCCGGCGCAGATGCACACCGATGAAACCGTTGGCCAATACGCCGGACATCAGCTTCTTGACGAAATCAGCGTAATGGGGTTTGAGCTGCCACATTGCTTTGGCAAGCAGGGATTTGGTACGGAAGTGGCCAGCAAAATCCTTGTCATAGATGTAAGTAATGATGCGACGCATTTCATGGAATCCCTCGGAGGGATTCACGGGAGTTAGGTCGACTTCTTTGGTTACCACTACGCTGTCGTTCTCATACACGAGATGATAATTATTTTTATTGTTTAATAAAGTTACGGCCTGTTGATCGGCCATATTTCCAAATATAGGGCACCGAGTGTTGCGAGCAAAGTCGTCAAAAAAAGTCGTCAGTTTCTCGTACGGCCATTCGTAGTGTAGGATATGAAAGCGTCGCTGCGCCATCTGGGCGATATGATATGCGGACAGGCCGTTCGTCATATACGACCCAAAACCCAGTCCGCGGCTCTGTCCCATCAGGCCACCGAAAAGAAGCCGGTCAGGATGGCAATTTTGCTTGTGCGCTGCCATAAACTCCTTAACCTGCAGTAAACAAAATGAATGAATATTGCTACGAACGCGTTTTATACGGGTAACGCAAAATTCGCAAACTTTGCATTATTTTTCGAAAGGCTTACAGTTACAGATACAAGCGGTGTCGGGTGAAAATATGATTATCAGTACATACAGATAGCTATCTCATTTCTGCAATATCGCTCTCTTCCTCTTGTTTCCGATGTACAATAAGTATAAGTACAATGTTATGCTGAAGGTGGCTGGTATAAGCGCTCGCAGTATCAGAATGTATACTGCTTAGTCCAAATTTTTTATGTAGCAGCACTGATAAGTTGCCAGTTGGTAGTCGTTAGCAATGCTTCTACCGACGGTAAAGCGTAAGTTAAAAAATTTAAAAAAAATATTGGCTTTGCTCAGCCAACTTTCCTACGATAACTGGTTTCCTCATGTATTACTGCTGTCACAAAACAGACCAAAGACAACATTATGATAGACATAATGACATTATAGACATTATTTATTTATTATTATTCATTATTAGTATTATTATTAATTTATGTGTTATTGAGCATTTACTTCGCACTTTACTTCACTGACTGCAAGAATTATGCTACAAATGCCGTATACAAAGAGCTAGTCCATGGCAGCTGCAAGATAAAACTTATAGGTTGAGGTTCTCGGCGCCTCCAACCATTCGTCATATACGACCCAAAACCCAGTCCGCTCATGTTTTGCGTATGCTGATATCAATATAAAATTGCGTTGAGAGAACCCTCGGCCCACAGGGGCCAAAAAAATTTCAGAGAAGGTAAAAAAAATTATTAATTTAACACATCGTACGTGCAAGTTCGATCATACAGTGTCATTACTGTGGTTGCTATGTAACTTACGATGCCCGGTGCACCACCTCAGTTTGGAACTCCTGCGCACAGCCACTTCGGCGCACATAATAATATAACAAACGTTATACTTTTACGTTTGTTTTATTATGTGCAAATACTCTCGTAAAATCTGTATGCAGATGATAATTATATAATATTTAGGCATATTTATATCGTATTATACCTGTTCTGAAAGGAAAGTTTGTCCAAACTTATGATCAAACGCTGTCAGATCCGAAGCATAATCGAAGGTAGCCATTTTATCCTCGACGTTAACCGTGACAGGATCGCTTTCATAATTCTCCATTGGCAAATCTATATGCATGATAATGACAACTATGAAGCCTACAAGCAGTAGGCGCACGAATGCATCCAGGACTCGTGAACGAGACATGATTGGTTTCGTACAGGTAGGCAGACAGATTACACTGATCAAGCTAGTTAAAATTAGCCTTAATCCAGCGCAACAAGTGGGAAAACAATTCGACGTCTCTGTTGTAGGAATAAACTCACGCGTTTAATTTGCAATGCAATGCAGCGAAAAAAAGCAGCCACACTGAAAACAAATGATATGTGATTGTGGGAAGATTTTGATGTAATCACACTGCAGAAATAGAGCACAAGTCAACAACCAGCAGATAATTTCTGTGGTTGTGTATGCAAACTGTAAAGGGAGAAGTCTTGCCATCGGATCAGCTATGATACACATTATACACCACCAGATTGCAAGCGTTTATAAAAATGCATGAACACGCAGCGAAATATGCATTAGGAAAGATGGACGATGCACCGTACATGTACTTATACTAACATGGAAAATTCAAACGGTAATAAGAGAGCAGCTGCCAAAAGAATTCGAGAAACCAAACCAACCAACGTTATTATGGGTGCGGCACCGTCAGCATGTACAGGCAGAAAATCAGTTTAAAAGTTGTACGAACAGTTTCCAGTTGCCTTTCGCCCTTGCTGTTTTGTTCGATCTCTTTGGCCTTCGATCATCATGCACGAAGAAATCTGCTGACATGAAATCTCCACAAATTCACAGTTCTGCTGGACTCTGCGCTTGGTGCTTGGTTAAATCGAACTCGACTTTCTTTGGCATGTTCCAGTTTTTGGCACCATCGAGGTATCAGGATTGGAATTTGGCCATTGTTACCCAGGCAAGGGCCGCAAGACGCACACGATTCGATTTTATAAGATTGCTGGTTTACGTAGGTTACTTGCCAATTTCATCTTTTCTACGTAATATCTTTTGCTTAGCTGCAACTGAAGGGCGTCGCGTCGATACAATGATATTTTTTTCTCCACACAATCAGTACTTATACTTCTGTGAGTGCGCTTGCGTTGAGTATTTTCAGTTTGTGGTTAATCTGCAACACTTCGAATTATGTATGACTGGAACATTTTGGTATTCTTGCTTGACTGCAAGATTTACAGTGTAATCTAAATGCATCCTTATTATAACTGGCGCATTACACGCTAAAAATTATGGATATTGAAAACTTCACACAACACGATGTAGAGAATGCATGTACGCAGTATCACTCGTGAATCGTGATAACATTTCTACGGGGGGTAAAGTTGCAACTTTCATCCAGTATCCCTGAACATTTGTTTGCAAACGTAAACCATTTTGCTGGAGGTGGCGGACGATTAACTTTCATTTTTACAGCATGTTCAAGTTTGTACAAAGCGGTGGTGCTTCTGTGCGGTTCGGTTGTTAAACCAGTCAGTTCACTCCCTGGATAAACCTTTGCAAAGGTAAATCTAAGGAATGGAACTTCAATGGACTGACTTTTCGCTGGATTGGCAGAAAAATGGTTGGATTGATCAGATCGGTGTAATAGTTTCGGTTGTTAATGCTTTCGTAAAGCGGTAAAGGAAATGCGTGCTAAAATTCCGATGGATGCCTGTAAATGCTATACTGCAGCCATCTTGAAGTATACTCTGCACGGTTTGTCCGTATACGGTTAATGTTTGTTCCCCGACAATTTATTATTAAATTTTAAATAACACTAAGCAAATGCAGAGAATAGAGACAAGACACCATAACTGCTTTCCTCAGTTTCCTTGAGTTCTCCGCAGCTGTATGCAGTTCTGTACCTGTAAGTGTAAGTTTAATATTTAGCAGAACGTATGAGTATATCTCTCATTTTCTATTAGTGTAACTTCATAAAATTATGCATACGTACACCGTTTTAGTACTTAAATTACACTGCTTAAATGCAGAATAAATACTTCGTAATTGATATTCAGATAGTACCAAGTTAGTAACCACATCTTGTCAGACTATTCAGCACTGTGGTACTTACTGCCATATTAACTGCTGACCGATGACCAGATTAAAAAAAACTGAAGAAATTTATTGAAGACGGCTGTATCAGGCAGTTGCGTTACCTATGCCGAGTGGTGAACCTGCCTGGTATTGTTTTTTAAATCAAGAATATACATGCGCTATACGCTCCAGCGAGTACGACGTTTGAACTTGGCAAATCTGGAGTGCAAACGCCGTGGCGCCGTGGTAAGCAACCAGCAAATGTGTGACTCTTAGCAGCTTGGCAGTTTGTACGGTGGTCGGTCCACCACACATTTTAGTGATTTCATACTGTAGTAACTTAATAATACTTATACTGACTGACAATCAAATCGGTGATTCCGTCAATTTCCGTGTGTATACTGCGCCGGATACGTCAAATGTTTGCTTTGTTATATTGAGTTAGATAATACGTACAGCATTACTGACCGCAAACCGCCGGGATGATGTCGCGTTTCCCTCCGCTCACAAGATTTTTCTTCTTCAGCGGGGCATGCCTCCTGTCTGTCCTATATGTTCTCCTTTTCCTGAAATTCTACTATCGGTCCATTTCCCCGCACAACAACACCATCCCGAACCCGGATTACTGGCAGCCCGTTATCCCAACCCAACTATACGTCCATTCCGCCACCTACGCGCTTCCCACGGAGAATCTCCACGGCTACGTCATTAAAGTCAGCACCATTGTCAACCGCAAAGACGCGAATATCCGTCAAGCGATCAGCTGTCGTTGCGTGTGCCCGTTTGGGACGTTTCCGGCGGTGTTAGCCGATTACCCCGAACACCACAACAAGCCATACATCGCCGCTACTCTAACGTGTGATGTCCGTCAGCACGCCGACTTATTTAAACTACTTATCTTGGCAGTACTTTTGTAGCATTTAGTTTGTTTCAAAGTGCTCAGATTATATCACGACAGATTCAAAATCTTTCTAAAATTTATGTTTGTGACTTTGTCAAATGTACCGTGAAGATGCGATTTTGTCTACTGTAAAGTGCGTGCCTAAAAAATAATGTGATACGAAATTTTTCGGCATTTTTCAGTTTGTTCATTGCAAATCCGGTTGAAATTAATGAAAAATATTATTATATAGATAATATATATAAATATAATTCGGATGTGAAATTTCGGAATTCTTTGGTGTGCTCACTTGTAAATCCGGTTGTAAGAAGTAGAAAAGGGTTCTGCTATAAATCCGATAAATTTAATTTGACGGGTATTGCTAACTAGCCGGGAGCCCAGATAAGGGAGAGTAATAGAAGGGGAGCCCATATAAGGCAGCATTCGAAGTATGTGTGATGGACACAAATTATACAATCTCCGACCATGGTAGTATTAGAGGATTAATGTGTTCTTAAATTTCCTTTGTTTTTAGTACTTAGTACTTACGAGTAATACTTTTATTGAGAGTATGTATCCTGTAAAGTTCCTAATGTATCCTGTAAAAATCCTAAGTACGGTAACAAACACTGAAAAGTTGTTAGCGCACTTTGCTGAATCAATGCATTCCTTTTAGTGGACTTTGACGAGTATATTATTTCGCAACACGGGACCGGCTTGACCGCCATCATCCAGTACGGAACCCACGACTGCGTCACCATCCGGCATTCCGCCATTAACTCCTCCTTAAGTGCCACCGCCTCACCCGGCCACATCCGCCAAAATCTAGTGCGCCAGTTACACCGTGATTCCCACATCTCGCCCGTAAATGACCGTACCAAGTACATTTGCCGTCCACGGTGCGTTCTAGAAACTGGAATCCATTTCATCCATAGATTACGCCCCAATACGCGTTTAGTGGTAGGAGCCAACACCGAGAAGACGTTGCTGCTGCATTTCAATCAGGGTGGGATGGTGGCCGGTGCTACATTGGTCAATGTGGATATGGAGCGATTCTTCGGCATGGCGCGACTGGAGCGGTTGACTAATACTATCAATGCAGTGCATCGCAGCATTTTCAACTCCACCGGTGGATTGAAGTGAGTGCGGCCGGGCTCTTCCATTTTACAGAAATACACACTAGAACAATTATCCTGTTATCCCAAAACGCCGTTTTTTTCTGCACATCGAGCATCGTTGTTTGACAAGCCTTGTATCGCACCTGTATATCTCAGGAAAAAGTGGACAATTTTTAACCGAAATAAGCGATAAACATTAAAAAAATTTGAAATCAGTGTAGTGTGATCTTTCAAAAAACTGGAGGAAAAAAAGCACATTTTTGCTGCTTCGTTTCCTCATCGCAGTATTCAGTCGATAATTTTCCGCCATTCCGTTTACTTCCACAATTAAACCGGTATCAGGGGCACGCATAAAAACACTCTAATGGAATTGTCAAGAAATGTTGTTGTCTAACAACCGCCAGGCGACATGTGATTGTTAAGAAATAGTAAACTCGTTTCTTTGAAGTGCAAGGCAACACGGATCATGTGTACCATCGCACAAATGACGCAGAAAATCTTTAATTAAACAAATTAATATCGTCGGTAATTAGTCCTGAAGGAACGGCGCACATGAGTATTCAGTTAAAATTACACCGAGCAAGTGATCCAAGCGGAACGCCACTACAGGTATTCTTTTTCTGCACTGACGCGGCTTGCTCCTCAGCCTTCCTGGATTTGCCCTAATGGATAAGTGCACTGAACTTCCTGTCTTCCGGCCGCGTGTACAAATGGATAAATAAGACAAACTAACCGAAAGCGATAGTGATAGGTTGGTCGAAGTGTGTTACTCTAATTGGGCGGAAACTGCTTCCGTTTATTGCACACCGATTCTGCTGTTATTGCTTCCGACACGGATTGTGCCGAATGGTGCGTTTTCCCAGTTACTCTATAGCGTTCAAGTGCGCAGCTGCCGAGTTGTAGAATTGTAGTTGTACTTCCGTTTGCCCACTATTATCAATTCACTCCGCAATTATTCCTGAAATAGCCCATGTGCTTCTCACGTTACAAAAACACAGTAGTAGCTGCAAAACGTATGGTAGTTCAAGCTGTAGATTTGCAGTGTGTTTCTTTTTCCCCATTTAAATTCTCTATCGGTTGGCTCGATTCGCAATGAACCGCACGGAAAGCGCAGCGAACGCTTCGAATTTGACTACAACAGACACCGTCGCGTATACAACCAACTGGGATGTTTTTCCCATTCTTGTTCTCGTCCTAACGATTACCGGCGCCGTAACCAATTTCATCACTCTTTTAGCATTCTGGAAGACGCATGTCGGCAATTCACCCTTACGGTTTATCTGATCAGTCTCATGCTGAAAAACCTGCTGTATTTCTTGCTAGTGACGCCTTTGGACCTGGTCACCATGCTAACCGATAAATGGCCACTGGGTTCTGCCGGGTGCACGTACTATCTGTACGTCAGTTACATCATCATGTCGGCCATATACCACAGTCAAATGTTGATCACGGTCAACCGAAACTGGGCGGTGACCTTTCCTATCAGCTATCGCAACCGGCACACGAAAGCCATCGCCATCGGCATCTGCGTGTCCATGTGGTTGTACGTCCATGCACTACTGTT